TTAATATTATTTCAATTATGATTTTAATTAAAAATATATAAATTTTTAATTTCAAGCATAATATATTATTTTTAGAATTATGTTTGTGTAATTGCATGGGCATAACGAACGAAGGATTTTCAAAGCTCGAAAATTTAAAATATCTAGAACGTTTAGATCTTTACAGAACAAGCATAGAAACTTCTACCTTATGTTCTATTTTAAAAAGAAATACTCAAATGCGTCATTTAAATTTAGCAGGAATGCATGACCGTTTAAATATAGATGAAGTTGCTGTTGAGTTAGGAAATTCTTGTCCATATTTAGAAAGTGTAGATTTTTGGAAAGCACAAACTTTAACTCCACAAGGAGTCAGAGCTTTAGCTCACTGTACTAAACTTCGAGAAGTGGATTTTGGATGGTGGTATGTTCTAGAAAAAAATATTGTTTATATAATTTTTAATGTTCAATTTTATCTATTGTAATAATTATTTCTATAGCGGTGGTATGGGTGCTCCTGGTGATTCCTTACGAGCATTATTATTTTCATGTCGCTATCTGGAAAAAGTATTTTTAGCAGCACTTAGAGGATTAACAGATCGTGATTTAGAACCACTTTTATTATGTCAACGATTACAACAATTGGATTTATTAGGAGCTCGTTCTCTTACTCCTGATATATGTTATGGAATTTTATTATTTTGTCCTAAATTAGAAATGATTGATCTTAGTTTTTGTGAAGGTATTAATGATTTTATTGTACAAGAATGGCGTCAACAATATCCACATGTTTCTATTAAAAGAAGTTTTCAAGTAATTACCTCAAATATGATATAATAAATATTTCGTGATATTTTCATAATAGTGGCCATAATTTAAAATAAAAATAGATATTTGTTTAATTTTAATAAAATTTAATATAATATAAAATTTTGGATGCCATAAGACTGTAATGTTATTGTATATATATTATATACAAAATATTATTACTAAAATATATATATATTTATATTCGATTTTTTATAAAAATATATGTATATTTTTATTTAATATTGCAATTTAATATTTGTACAGTATAAAACAATTATACATGTAAAAGCAATATTATTATTAAAGATATTCAAATTGTATAAAATGTATTATATTTAATATGATATAAATACTTTGATATAATAAATTGAATTTTTATAAAAATATAAATGATATATGTAAACTTTATAAATAATCTCTATATTTTATTTTTATATATACTTAAACTTTTAATAATAAAAAGTTGTTTTGCATTAAAATTGAAAATTAATATTAATTTAAAATTTAAATAACAAATGGCATGCATAAAAAATTGTCTTCTGTTTATATTAATTGGATTATATGAAACATTAGAATTGAATCTGATCATAGAATATTTATAATTTAAATGACATTCATCATTTAATTATGACTATGAATATTAATTTTAGCGGTTATATTTAATCGGAAATAATCGGTGATAATTGGTAGCTAATGCATAGTTAATGATTATTGTTTAATATATACAAGTGAAAAGTGCACGTGGTTCTCTGCTTAGTATAGGTTATAAATTCATTATATTGTATACAATATAATATTTATTTGATGTACAATGAAAAATATAAAAAATATAATATAAAATATAAAATAATATAATAATAATATCAAAACTAATATTAAGAAAAAAAAGTGGTATAATTTTTTTTTTTAATATTTCGTATATGAAATAATATTTTTTATGTTATAATTATGTATATTTACTATGTTATATAAGAATTAGTATTAAATTAAAAATTAGAATTAGAAAGAAGAATTTTATATTATTATAAATTTTTAATTATGAATTTTATATTATTTATATTATTAAGAATTTTATATTATTATATAATTTTTAAAATAATTTTTGAAACGGATTTAATTACTTTTATTTTCAAGTGAAATTCTTGACATATTTAATAAATTTTATTTAAAATTTGTAATTTCAGATATAAATTTTGAATATAATTAATATTAAAATATATAAAATATAAAAAATAAAATATAAATATAAATTGATAAGTACAATAATAAAAACATGCTCAAAAGAAAATTATTTTGTGAAACTAACATAAATACAAAACAAAAGAAAAGAAATACTATAAATTCAATGTTAGATAATATATCTCATGAGAATTGTACAAAAGAATTTGATAATGAATCACTACAAGAAGTTCAAGGTAATATACAAAATGAATATTTTAAATTTATTAGATATATTTTTATCTGTTGCATATATTTTTTTATGTTATGTATAATTATTTATATGTTTTTCTTTATAGATGTGAAAACTAATGAAAAAGATGAAAAAAATAAAAAATGTAAAATGGATACAAATAAAGTAATAAAATATTTGGATGGAAAATTTTTTAAAGAAAGTTTCAATTCTACAAATGACTTAGATATATTAAGAAAATTTATAAAAATCTGCAATGAAAACAAAGAAAAAGATTTGGCTGCAGAATATTTAAATGTAGGTGGCAATATTTTTGATATATTAAAATTATTAAATACAGCAGATAAAAAAGAAATGAATACTGTTATAATTGTGTTTTCTGCAATAAGGATATTAATAATAAAGTAAATGTTTTATAATTATAATTCAAAGTTTATACTTATTAAAATATTGCATAATTATATGTTTAATATTTATGTTAATTTTTGTTTGTCTTTAGAATATTAGGACAATATCCACAATATCAATGTAGTGCAAAAGAGGCATGTCGTCATTTGATTAATTCAAATTTATCAATAATTCATTCAATGTTATCGATACAAAGTAATGCAAAGCAACAAAAAATAATTTTACAATTACTTGCTGCAATAGTTTCATTAGATTTAAATCTATCACGTGAATTGCTTATTCATTTGTCTTTACCATTAGAAGTTATTAAGTCTCTTGTACAACATAGAAAACCTACAGATAATCATAATATAAGAAATTATTTCATTCATTTTATTATGGCTTTTTTAATAGAAGGAAATGTATCAATTATCAGACTTCTCTTGGATAAACGTGACTTGTTTTCTAGTATATTTTCTGATTTAATATATGATTCCAAAGACATTGTTATTTTAATTTTAAGTACTCTTAAAACTTATATTCTTCATAATCCAAATATTAATAAAACTATGAAGTTACAATTATTTTCAACATCAATTATTCAAAATCTTATATGTCTTTATAATTGGAAAGGTCCAAATAATCACCCAAAATTTAAAACTCAAAGTTTTATGCCAGAAACACAATATCTTGAAGAAAAAGAGGTATTTATTATTAAAATTTTTTAATTAAAAATATTGATAATTAATTATATACTAATAATTAATATATCAATATAAGATATACTAATAAGATATACTAACAATATAAGATATACTAATAATTAATATATCAATATATTAATATATATTTATATTTAATATTAATATTAAGTAATAAATAATAAATAATATAAATATTAACTAAAACATATTTTAATTTAGATAGTTATTGAAGTCGTGCATGATTTTTTAATTATATTGTTAACATCACATCGATATGGCATTATTTTTCATGATTATATGCTTGGTACTTCACATATTAAACATAATAATATGGT